TGGAAGGTTGTATGTTTTTAGGAATTTATCCATTTCTACCAGGTTGTTCAATTTGTTGGCATATAATTGTTTATAGTAGTCTCTTATGAGCCTTTGTGTTTCTGTGGTATCATTTGTAATGTCTCCTCTTTCATTTCTGATTTTGTTTGAGTTGTCTCTCTTTTTTCTTAGTGAGTCTAGCTAAGGGTTGTCAATTTTTTTTTTTCCAAACAACCAGCTCTTGGTTTCATTGATCTTCTCTATTTCTGCTCTGATCAGATGTCTAACTTTATTGCACTGTGCTCAGAGAATTTAGTCTCTAATGTTGGTTTGGGTCAGAGGGTATTGTGGCTTCTTTTATGGCTTGGTACATGATGGATTTCTGTGAATGTGCCATGTTTGCTCAAAACCATCTGTGTTCTACGTCTGTGGGTTGTAAAGTTATATGTACACATATATGTGTATAAATATTAGTTTGGGCTTAAAATTGGCACTCAAATCTTCCATATCTTTGCTTATTTTTTGTCTTGTTTGATCTATCATTGTCTGAGAGGCATGTATTAGAAGTTATCATGTATAATTGTTGATTTTTTTATTTCTCCTTATCTGTCATTTGTTGCTTGCTACATATATATAGCTCTATAAAAAATATATATATGTATTCAACTTTTTCAGAGTATTATATATAATACATAATATATGTATAATACATAAAGATATGTATTTATATTATAAATACATATCTTTATATTTATGTATATATATATTGAGGATATTATTATTAGGTACACATTTGTTTGCAGTCATATTGATTATTTTACCAGTGTGTGTTTTTCTCCTTGAAAATTTCTTTTCTGATGTTGGAATTGCTCGTTCAACTTTCTTTGAGTTTATATTTGCCATCTCTTTGTTATCAACCTTTCCATACATTTTCTTTTAGGTCTGTTTCTTGTAGCTAACATATTTCTACGTTTTTAAAAAATCAAATATTTTTAAGGTTATTTGTTTGCCTTTCGTTGGTACGTTTAGACCACTTATATATGCATTGATTATTACTCTATTAGGATCATTTTTGTCATCTTATTTCATGTTTTCTTTTGTTTTTGGTATTTTTAAAATTGAAATATAATTGACAGATAACATTAGTTTCAGGTGTACAATGTAATGATTTGATATTTGTATATATTGTGAAATGATCACCACAATAAATCCAGTTAACATCCATCACCACACATGGTTACAAATTTTTGTGTGTGTGATGGGAATTTTTAAGATCTACTCTCTTAGCAGCTTTCAAATGTACGGTATTATTAACTATAGTCACCATACTGTACGTTACATTCTCAGGACTTATTTATTTTATAACTGGAAGTTTGTGCCTTTTGACTCCCTTTACCCAATTTGCTCACTCCCTCAACCTCTGCCTTTGGCAACCACCAATCTGTTCTCTGTATCCATGAGTTGTCCATTTTTTTTTAATATTCTACATATAAGTGAGATCATTTGGTATTTGTCTTTTTCTGTCTGACTTATTTCATGTAGTGTAATGCCCTCGAGGTCCATCTAGTTTGTTGCAAATGGAAAGATTTCCTTTTTCTGGCTGAATAACATTCCATTGTACATATATACACCATATTTTCTTTATCCGTTCCTCCACTGATGGACAATTAGGTTGTTCCCATGTCTTGGCTATTTTAAATAATGTTGCAGTGAACATGAGGATGCAGATACCTTTTTGAGTTAGTGTATTCGTGTTCTTTGAATAAATACCCAGAAGTGGAATAGCTGGATCACATGGTAGTTTTATTTTTAATTTTTTGAGGAACCTCCATGTTGTTTTCCATAGTGGCTGCACCAATTTACATTCCCACCAACAGTGCACAAGGGTTCCCTTTTCTCTACATCCTCACCAACACTTGTCATGTTTTCTTTTAACTAAACTTTTTTCCTTTATTTTCATTTCCCATCTACTATTGGATAAATTAGAATTTTCGTCTTCTGGTTTGAGAGTGATATGTTCTATTTTATCCTACTGGTGATTGTCCCTAACTTATTAACACCGCTAGGTTTATCAGTATCTCTTTCTTTCCACTTAACTCATTCTAAACGCCATCCTGCTTCCTCCTTCCTACTCCCCCTTACCACCATATTGATGTCTGCATTTTTGCTTTAGGATTGCCTTACGTATTTTTGTTTGTTTGTTTTTATGGTCCTGGCTTTTTATACAAGATTAAAATTAACTATGATATTACATACTTTAATTTAATGTATCATGTAACATCATCTTGCGTTTCTTTTCTCATTTGTCATTTTCAGAGAGGGTATTCATGTGATAAAGTCTTTTGAGACTATCTATGGCTAGAAATATTTTTATTTCTTAAGCATATTTAATAGCTTAGCTGAGTGTGAAAATCGAGATTCACAGTTCCTGCAGCACTTTGTAAATATTAATTTGTTGCCTTCTTGAATCCAGTCTTGATGCTTGGAGAGAAAAGATGATATTAATCTGCTTCTTGTTCCTTTGGAGATATGTTTTTTCTCACTGGAAGCTTTTAGCATTTTTTTCTTTGGCTTTAACGTTCTTAAATTGCACACCAAAAAATGTGACTAGGTGTGTTTTTTTCTTTATACATCATATTTTGAACACTGTGAACCGTTTCATTCCCTGATCTCTAATTTTTTTTTATTGAGGTCATAATAGTTTATGAAATTTCAGTTGTACATTATTATTTGTCATTCACCATATATATGTGCCCCTTTACCCCTTATGCTCACCCCCCAACCCCCTTCCCTTCTGGTAACCACTAATCTGTTCTCATTGTCCATGTATTTGTTTATCTTCCACATATGAGTGAGATCATATGGTGTTTGTCTTTCTCTGTCTGGCTTATCTCACTTAACATAATACCTTCAAGTTCTATCCATGTTGTTGCAAATGGGACAATTTTTGCCTTTTTTATGGCTGAGTAGTATTCCCTGGTCTCTAATTTTTCTTTAATCCTGGGAAATTCTCAGCCGTTGTTTCTTCAAAGATTTCTTTCTTATTTTCTTCTCCTTCAGGGACTCCTGTTACATAGATGTTGACACTTCTCATTCTGGCTTCTTCTTGCCTACGTCTTCTCTTTTGTTTTGTTGGCATTATCCATTTCCATGTTTCTTTGTTCGCATTTCCCATTCTTCGTCCTTTGCTGATGTCTTCTGGGCACTTTCTTGGACGTGACCTTTCAATTGCTGTGTTGTTTGTCAGTCACATAGATTCTATCTAACCTATCTGTTAAAGCACAGGGTAGAAGTTAAGAATAATGCTTTATGAGTTTCCTCAGTTTCCTCATCTACAGAATGGGGATAATAATATTGACCCTACAGAGTTGTTTAGGAGGATTAAGTGATCTAATCTATGGACGTGCTTAGAACAATGCCAAGTGTATAGTAAGTGAGGGCTGCTATTATTTTTTTTCCAACCGTTGTGTTTTACATGCCTACTGTTTCTAGTTGGTTATTCTTTATAACTGCTTCTCCTTGGTTCATGTTACCAATACAAATCTATTATCTTTTTTAGGATGTCTGTTATGTTTGTTTAACATTCTTATTATTTCCCATCCATTAATTCTGCTTTGTCTCTTACAGGTGGTTCAGTTTGTTGCCTTTATTTTTTAGTGGCTGCATTCTCCAGCTGTCTAGTTATTTTGCTGTGTGAATACATTGTATCTTTTGGGGTGGGGGTGGGGGTCAGCTTCCTTGAATGTGAGTGTTTATAGAGGTTGAGAGGGTGGGGGATGGACAGGAGAGACTAAAGCGTGTTCTTAGCTAGGGCTTGGGAAGGCGGGCAAGGACCTAGGGCGGAGAGCCTCTGCCCTTGCTGTCTGGCCTTGCCCACAGCCGTCTGTCCACCCCAAGAGGCAACCCTGCACCTTAGGGAGCCTCTCTTAGTCTCCACTCCCAGCCCTGCTCTTTTCCAGGTGCTGCCTTCCTCAGTTATAACTCTCCTACCAGGCACGGTGGGAGGAAGGAACAGGAGGAGGTTGGGGGAGTGAGAAGGAGGCTTTCAGTGAGCAGCTGGTCTGCCGGCACCTAGTGTTACGTGGTCCCCACTGTCTCTGAGTTTATGTGCTACCCTGCTGTTAATTCGTTGGTCCTGTGGCTGTCACTGGACGGATGCTGCTAGAGGGCAATGTGGAGGAAGCAACAAGGTTACACAACTAAACCCTTCCCCAAACCATCCTGGCTGCGGACGCGGGCTCGCTCACACTCTCTGCTGCACTGCCTGTATCTTTCAGGGGTGCGCGCTGGTTTTGTGTCAGGTTCTCAGATCCATGACCCCCTCCCTCCCAGTTTCACAGTATCTGGACTGAGAGAGGGATTCCAGTTGTTGTTGTCAGTGCTCCATTTTCTCGTGGCTAGGAGTTTATAGTTTTGCTATTATATCATTATATTAATATTCTCATCTAGCAGGCTGGTTTTTTAAAACTGAAAACAATTTCATGTTTTTAGGGAGCTACCCAATTACATATATGTAAGGCCTGTTCATCCTTTGTCATATTAGAGGATTAAGTTAATGAAATGAAATAAAGACCTTTATTATAAGAAAATTTTGATTTATAAGGCAACTCTAATCATTAAACTTTAGGTCAACATTATAGTAAGGCTCTTCTGTAGTATCAAAGTATTTATATTGTGTCAACAGGTTATCTCCCTGTTAATAAATTCAGAGTCCTTTGGCATCTTTCTACTTGTGTGAAGAGATTTATCTTACTAGATTGTTAGTCCTCTTAAAGCCAGTTTGTATTTAACTGAGACATTCTATGAGGATTTCAGTATATGTTGTGTGGTAGGATATCTTAACATTTTAATTAGGAATCATGGTAGAATGTATGCACAACAAATGTATAACATTAAGCAAATTGTGTTTATCATAAAATAAATCTCATCAGATAAATGAGAATTTCTAGAAGGAAGACTTTAAAATTTTATCTTTGTACTTATCCTTGTTCTGATGTTTCCTATCTCTATATTCATTGAAGATGCACAGTAATCAAAAGGGCTTACTTCCAGAGCCAAATCCAGTACAAATTATGAGAAGTTTGAACAACCCCGCCATGCTGCAAGTTCTGCTACAACCCCAGCTCTCCGGGCGAGCTCTTAAACCAGGTAAGCGCCAAGTGCACTGATTAAACGTAGAGTGTTGGCATGAAGTTAATTCTGCTGTCGTACATGAAAAATAGATTTAAATTAATCAAAAAAGTTTTAACTTTTCTAAAACTTACCAGTGAATTTAATGAATGATCTGAGGTGATAATATGTCTTGACTTCTTTTGATAGGTAGGTACAACCTGCTCATGGGTTTCCTAATTTTTTTTTTTTTTTTTTACTGTTAGTGTTAAATATTAAACTTTCAGTTCAGTTCCTGGTTAACATGAATTCATAGACCAGATAGTAATTAACACACTACATTGTTACAGCCTGTAGTAACAAAGGATATAATACTTTTATATGTAATGTTTTTAGCAGAATTACTTGGTTGGAAAGTGCTAGAGATCTGTTTCCTCTGCTCTTACTTTTCTTTTTTATTGTAAAATTGTTTCACTATGTAGAAGATGACAAAAGACTATTTTATAAGTATTATGGAACTCTTTATGGTATGGGTGTACATTAACTATCTACCTGTTTAGTATTCTTTCTCTAAGAGCTTGTTTACCTTCTGAAATGCACAACTGTACATACGCAAAATGTATATTTTATCATTATGAGGAAATGAATGCCTATATTCAACACAAAGGTTTAGAGTACAGATGTTCACAGTAAATACATTTATTCTGTTTCAACCCCAACTGGTCCAACACCAGCTAGTGTACTGTAATTCGGTCCTAGCATTAACTGCCCAGAGTTAGCACAGACCCCACAAATGAAGGGCTTAGTTGCCAACAGGTCTACACCTGCTTCAGACACCAGCCACAAATTCACGGGGTCCCCAGGCCACCTGCTCTTCTGACCAATTGGCTACAAGTTTGGGGGTTCCTACGACCCCTCTCAGATTCACTAATTCACTAGAATGACTCACAGAATTTAGGAAAGCACTGTACTTAACGATTGCAGTTTTATTATAAAGGATACAAGTCAGGAACAGCCATGTGAAGAGATGCCTAGGGCTAGGTCTGGGAGGGTCCTGTATGCAGAGCTTTTAGGCTCTTTCCCCAGAGAATCAGAGCACATCACCCTCCCAGCACATCAGTGTATTCACCAAACAGGGATTTCTGCTGAGCTAACTTCACTATCCAGAGTTGTTATTGGGGTTTTGTTATGTAGGCATGATTGGCCGTGTTATTGAACTCAATCTGCAGTCCCCCTCCTCGCCCTGGCGGTCAGGAGCTCAGGCTGGTATCACATGGCTCAAAGCCTGAGCCCTCTAATCGCATGGTTGGTCTTTCTAGCATGACCGACCCGCATCCTGAAGCTACCTGGGGGCCCACCGTGAGTTACCTCATGAACATAACAAAGACACTTCTATCGCTCAGGAAATTCCGAGGATTGAGAGAGTTCCTTCCAGGAACCAGGGACAAAGACCAGTTAAATTATTTATTCTACAGCAGTATTCATATTGAGTGCATCATATAACCATCAGTTATTTGTGTGTAAGAAGCAGCTGTAGAGGTTTTCTGGCTCAGCCTGTTATGCAGTCACATGTCTCTTCCACAATTTTCATGGTACAGAGATACCCTTTTCATGTCTTGACTGCTCGAAGCATAAGAAGCTCATGTCCCAAGGCAACCTATTCCCTGGTTTGACAAATTTAATTACTAGAAAGTTTTTCTTTATATTAGATGATAATCCAATACAACTTTTAGCCACTTATTCTAGTTCTTCCCCTCAAGAAACACAGATTAAATCTGTTCTTTCTTCCATAATTTGACGACAACTACCATGACACCTTAATCATCTTTGGTTTTCCCTGTCTTCTGTTCTCCAGACCAGTGGTCTCCTTTTATTTATTTATTTTTTGGCTATGCAACCCTACCAGTAAAATAAATTTTGAGCAGATCCCCAATATATAAGTATATGTATCAATTATATGTCAGTTATGTAAATGCACCCTTGTCAACCCATATGTTAAGAAATGATAAAGCTTAATATTTTTATTTTTAAGGTGAAAGCGAATATAAATAACAGTTCTAATATTTTATTTCTACACGTCTTATACCTCTTTGGAGACTACAGTTCTACATTTGACTTTCCATAACCTGCCATAGGATATGCCCTCTAGATGCTCCCACAAATTGTCCTCTTGTAGATATGGCCTAGGTTTCTAGGTCGTCCTGAAACAGTGTACACAGACATGAACATAGTACTGTAGATGGGTTCTGATCAGCACAGAATGCAGTGGGATTTCCTTCCTGTGATCCTTGTATTTCTATTAGTGCAGTCCAAGATTATATTAGTGTTTAAAGAAGTATATCATGCTCTCAGGTCTTTTGGAAAGTATTGTCCACACCTTCAGACTCTGGGCTACCTTTAGTAATTCCTCCCCAACATTATTTTTGTCTTTTCTTTTTATCTAAGACTATATATTCTCCACTCTGCTTTTCTACTCACATTGATGTATGACCATATGAGATTATGCTTCTTTGTTTTAGTGCTACTTTCACAATTTTAAGTAAGATGTTTCAATATTAGACTGATGGGGAAATTATTTCACCAAGCATGGCTTTTTGTGTGGAGTGGCAAGGGAAAAGGATTAAATCTCTGCCTCACTTGAACACATGCAAAGCTGCTGGGGAATGTGTGGAAAGTTTCTTGGTGTTCAGGAAAGAAAGAATGTCTTATTAATCAATAAGTTCCATTGGTTTTTCCTTTAGTGTGTCTTAACTGTATCTCTTACTGTACCCTGAACTCCTTACAGAGGCTCTGAACAAATGAAAATAATTATACAGGATCAGAATTCTTTATAATTATGTTTATATTGTGTATATATTTATATTTATACCCTTGCCCTCCTTCTTTCTCACTGTATCATTTTTCAAATAACTTACGCGTATTCAGTTGTTTATTGTCTGTCTCTCCAGACAGCTCCACAATGGCATAGATTTGTCTCTCTTGTTCATCTCAAGCACCTAGAGCAGAACTGCTAGTTATAGTGAAAGGCACTTAAATATTTGTTTACTGATTAAACCCCTTCCTTTACATTTCTGTTCCAGAGCTTGTACGTACCTTGTTATTCACATTTGGTCTAGTCTGTACATTCCTAACCACTCTTCTTGTCTGCCCTCTTTTCTCTCTAATCTGTACACTGCCATCAGATTGATTTTCCTCCCAGACCCAATTTGATTGTTACTCTGACCGTACTGATCTTTTCTCTTTAATCCAGACCTTTTAAGTACCTTCAAAAATACAATATAATATAAATATTCTAAACTTCTTTCTTTATATGTGTGTATTTTTAATTTTAACTATTATGTAATTACTTATAGTCTAAATTGTGTTTTAGGCTTTATTGAGGTATAATTGATGCACATTAATCTGCACATATTTAAACTGTACAAAGTGATAAGTTTTGACATTTGTATAGCTCATGAAATCACCACAATCAAAATAATAAACATAGTCATTACTCTTGCAAGTTTCCTTTTGCCCCTTTGTAATCCACCCATTCTCTGTCCCCAGGAAACTACTGATTTGCTTTCTGTCACTGTAGAGTAGTTTGTATTTTCTAGAAATTTATATAAATGGAATCTCACAGTATATACTGTTTGGCTTCTTATTTTGAGATTATGCATGTTGCTGCATGTATCAATAGTTTTTTGCTTTTTAATTCTGAGTAGTATTGCATTCCACAATTTGCATATTCATTGACTTGTTGAACATTTAGGTTATTTCCAGTATTGGGTCATTACAAATAACATTGCTGTGAACATTTGTGTACTAGTCTTTGCGTAGACTTATGCTTTCATTTCTCTTGGGTAAATATCTAGTTGTAGAATGGTTGGGTCATATGGTAGTTGTATGTTTACATTATTAGAAACTCTCCCAGCTGTTTTCCAATGTGGTAGAGCCATTTCACATTCTCACCGTCAGTGTCCAGGGCTGCAGTTTGCTCAGTATCCTCACCAACACTCATTATGTTCATCCTTTAATTTTAGCCTTTCCATTGGATATATGGTGCTATCTCATTGTGGTTTTAATTTGAATATCTCTTTCCACTAATGATATTGAACATCTTTTAATGTGCTAGTTTGCCATCTTTATTCATTGTTAATATATCTTTTTAAATATCTTGCACATTTTAAAATTGAGTTGTCTTCTTATTAAGTTGTAAGTGTTCTTTATTCTAGATACAAATCCTCTGTTGAATATATGAGTTTGCAGATATTTTCTTCCACTCTGTGGGTTGTCCTTTTATTTTCTTAACAATGTCTTTTGAAGAGCAAAGTTTATTATTTTGGCAAAGTCCAATTTATTATTTTTTCTTTAATAATTTGTATTTCTCGTGTCATATTTAAGAAATCTTTGCCAAATTCAAGGTCACTGAGATGGTCTCCTATGTTTTCCTCGAGAAGTTTTATAATTTTACCTGTTACATTTAGATCTATGATCCATTTTGAGTTAATTATTGTTTATGGTGTGAGGTAAAGGTCCTGGTTAATTTTTTTCACAGTTGTTCCAGCATCATTTGCTAAAAAAGATTATCCTTTTCCATTGAATTTCTTGACACCTTTTTCAAAAATTGATTGAACATATATCTATGGCTCTATCTCTGGACTCTATTCTATTCCGTTGATCTAAATATCCATCTTTATACCAATACTACATTGTCTTGATAAATGTAGCTTTATAAAAAGTCCTGAAATCAGTTAGTGAAAGTCTTTCAACTCTATTCTTCTTTTTCAGTTCGTTTGCCTATTCTAAGTCCTTTGTATTTGCTTATAAATTTTAGAACCAGCCTGTCAATTTCTATGAAAAATGTCTGCTGGGAATTTGATTGGGATTGTGTTGAATCTGTATACTAATTTGGGCAGAATTGACAACAATTTTGAGGCTGAGCCATAAATATGGTATATCTCTCCATTTATTTAGGTCTTCTTTAATTTCTCTCAGCAATATTTTGTAGTTTTCAGGGTACAAATCTTACACATATTTTGTCAGATTTACCCATAACATTTCATTTTTCTTGATACTATTTTAAATGGTATTATTGCCTTTTAAGTTTCAGTTTCCTATTGCTTGTTGCTGACATACCAGTACAATTAATTTTGTATATTTATCTGGTATCTTGCAACCTTACTTATTGTTTCCAGTAGGTTTTTGTCCCTAGAATTTTCTAGATAGGCAATCACGTCATCTACAAATGAAATTATTTCTTCCTTTCCAATATGTATGCCTTTTATTTCTCTTTCTTGCTTTATTACAATAGATAGAAATTCCAGCGTCATTTGTGCATTGAACTGGTGAGAGTGGACATCCTTGCCTTGTTCCTGATTTTACAGAGAAAGCATTTATTCTTTTATTATTTAGTATTATGTTAGCTATAGTTTTTCGCAGATTTTCTTTTTCAAGCTGAGAACTTTCCCTTCTATTCCTATATTGCTGAGAAATTTTATCATGATAATTGTTGGAATTTATCCATTGCTTTTCTCCATTTATTGAGATGATCATATGTGGGGTTTTTTTGGTCTGTTATCATAATGAATTACATTGATTGATTTTTTGAATGTTCAACCAACCTTTCATTCCTAGGGTAAACCTTACTTGGTTGTGATTTATTATAATCCTTTGTATATATTGTTGCTTGATAGTTTTGTTCAAGTCTTCTATATCCTTACTGATTTTCTGTCAACTTATTCTATCAATTATTGACGAGAGGGATGGGGCTCAGTAGGAGACCTAGCCAAGAGCTAAGAGTAAGGGCAGTCAGATGTGAGACTGTGGGTGTTTTCAGTGTTTGGTTCTGGTCATTGTTGTTTTAAACTGGGAAATACCGTATTCACTAAAAGCTGTGAGAAAATATATTTTAATGTTTTATAATAAAATACAGTAACCATCTGAAGAAAAAGAGGAGGTGGTGTTGAAATCTCTAACCATAATTGTGGATTTGTCTACTTTTCCTTTCAGTTCTAGAAATTTTTGCTGTATATATTTTGAAGCTTTGTTATTTGGTATGCAGACATTTAAGATTGTTGCATCCTCTTGATAAATTGACCCTTTTATCAGTATGAATTGCCCACCTTTATCACTCTTTCTTCATAAACAGTGTCTTCTTTTATAAGCAGCTTATCCTAGTGGTCTACTCTTTCCAGCACCTAGAGTGAAATTGGCTCATTCTACAGAAAGCACCTTCTAATGGTCATTTTTCCAAAGATGTAAGGGACCACCTCAGCAAGTAATGAAAATGGGAAACAGAGTTTAAAGCATGGGGTGAACTTGTAGGGATGTTATATATAAACTTTAAATATTTTTGTGTGTGTGTGTGTGATGAGGACTAGCCCTGAGCTAATATCCGATGCCAATCCTCCCCCCCACCTTTTTGTTTTCTCGAGGAAGATTGGCCCTGAGCTAACATCCGTGCCCATCTTCCTCTACTTTATATGGGACGCCGCCACAGCGTGGCTTGACAGATGGTGCGTCGGTGCTCGCCCGGCATCCGAACCTGCGAACCCCGGGCCGCCAAAGTGGAGCGCGCGCACTTAACCGCTTGCGCCACTGGGCTGGCCCCACTTTAAATATTTTTGATCATTGAATTATATGCTTTTTGAAGTACTTTCTAAACCTGACCTGTGATTCTAATTAACTATTGTATTGCTAGAGAATTTTGTATATTATGACTGTTTCCAGTTACTTTATAATAATTAGATGAAATTGCTTCATATGTTTTTCTATCTCATGGTTCTTTTTGTCTGTATATTATCTATTCTGAAAACGTCTTCTGATATGTACTCTGGTATTTGTACTTAGACAAACTTGATAAAGAGTATAGTTACCATTTATTCTTTTTATCAACTATGTACAGTATTGTTTCCTTTGTTTTGTTTTTATTATGTAAATATTTTTGTTTTTTTGGTGAGGAGGACTAGCCCTGAGCTAACATCTGATGCCAATCCTCCCCTTTTTTGTTTTTCTTGAGGAAGATTGTCCCTGAGCTAACATCCGTGCCCATCTTCCTCTACTTTATATGGGACACCGCCGCAGCACGGCTTAACAAGTGGTGCATCGGTGCACACCCGGGATCCGAACCTACGAACCCCGGGCCGCCGCAGTGGAGCACGTGCACTTAACCGCTTGCACCACTGGGCCGGCCCCATAAATATTTTTTATGTACATATATTCTCTTCTCAGTTGGATTGTAAGGTTTTCAAGGACAAGGATTGTATCTTATCCTTCTCCCCCGCCCCCTGCCAAAATACTCCAAACACCCAACAAAAATACTGAGCCAATAACATGGGTTCAATTAGTATTATACTTATTAAAAGATGGAATTAGTTTTGTTGTACTAATGCTAAAGAAGAGAAAGGCTGGGTTTGGTGTTTGCCGTTGTGACAGGAGGTTTTGGAATTTTAAATCAAATTCTAGGGTTGAATCACAAGGAAAGGAGCTTGTCACTTCTTGTGCATTGACAAGGTCAGTATATTGTTGAACTTTCAAAGAATTTGTTAAAAGTTTAAAGAAATATTCATTTACTCTTTTGGAGTTTTATTTATTTTTTAATTCCGTATATATCATAAAGTTAAATTTTTACTTTTATTTTCTTCAAGCAGTTCTTGGAACACCTCACAGCTTGCCACATCTGATGAATCATCCATCCATCTCTCCTGCATTTTTACATTTGAATAAAGCACATCAGGTATATAAATAGCATTGAGTACTGAAGCATCAGAAATTTGGGGTGAATATTTTGTTTGTTTTTAAACACTTAAAGTTCTTAAGAAGTTAAATGAGTATTTTGTTTTACAAAAACCCTTAGCAATAAGTATAGCTGCATAAAAACGTAACTGGAGTATATCAGATCAAATTAAGCTAATCAAAGCAGCAGTTATATATATTTATTGATTCCAATTTGTAAGGCATTAAGATGGGAAGAGGTATATTTTGTGATATATTTTTCTAGAAGTTGATTAGTAGTTCAAAACAAGTTTTCTTATGTGGTCTTTTTTTTTTTAAATTATTTATTTATTTATTTATTTTCCCCCCAAAGCCCCAGTAGATAGTTGTATGTCATAGATGTACATCCTTCTAGTTGCTGCACGTGGGACACGGCCACAGCATGGCCGGAGAAGCGGTGCGTCAGTGCGTGCCTGGGATCCGAACCCGGGCCGCCAGCAGCGGAGAGTGCGCACTTAACTGCTAAGCCATGGGGCCGGCCTTCTTATGTGGTCTTAACTCAAAAAAGTATTTACAGAAAGAAAAAATAAATGAATGAACAATAGCTCTTACTCTTAATCAATGTTATAAAAATAATTCATATATTTTTGAGAGTAAAAATTATTTTTCTTTCCCTTTTCAGATAGGTATTTTAAAATGTGTTTGTATTTGTAAATATCCATAATATTGGAAATAAACATTACTCATTAATTTCAGCTACTGTTTAAGGCTGTATCTCTGTAGAAGCCTAATTGCAAGTCAAACCTAATACATAACAGCTGATTGATGTTTCGTCCTAAACCCAGCTTTTTAAGGGAAAGCCCTATCTTTTGTTTATTTTTCATTCTTAGAATCTAACAGAAGACCTTGTGCATTATAGGGTCTTTATTCATTCATTTACTCAACATATTTTAATGAGAATCTGACTTGTACTAGACACTCTGCTAGTCATTGAGGCTACAGCATTGAACAGAATATTCAAAGTCCATGTTCTTATGGAATTTCAACAAATAGAGAAAACAAACATTAAACAATTAATTACAATAAGAGTGATATGAGAGGAGAGTTCAGAGTATTGACCATATTCCCTTTATTTTAGAAGAAAGACCAACATGCTTAATTTTTCCTCTGAGATCTGTCCAAGCGGGCCTCTCCACCTGTCCTGCTCACTGGGCGTCACTGTCCCAGCCTCAGTGGCCTGCTTTTGGTTCTTGAAGGACCTCATTCTCTTCTCCGTCTGCCTTCGCTCCTGCTGCCCCTTCTGCCTGGAATGCCCCCCACCCAGCAGCACTGAATTCCCCCAGGCCCCACCTGTTACTCCTCTGCAGCCTTAGGTCTCCGCACGAGAGTTAGTTCCTCAGGGAACCTTCCTTGAATTGAGCAATCTAAATCAAATCCCCCCATTGTTTGTTCTCTTGGCTCCTTGTGTTTTTCCTTCAGACACTCGTCACCATTTGTAATTACGTGTTTTTGTAATTGACTCATGTCTGCCCGCCTCCAGGGACTGTAAGATCGTGAGGGCAGACCACACTGTGGTATTTCTCACTGGGTGGCATGGTGCCTGGCACGTGGCAGAGCTCAAGAAATCCTTGTTGAATGATGGAGTGAATAAATCAGTGACAGAATGACACTGACATTGCAGCTGGGTGGGGGGAGGGGAGGCGAGGAAAGATGAAAGAAAAGAAGGGGAGGATGTGTAATTACATGGTCACATCTTGTATATTATTAAAAGGATTAATTATTGTTGCCTAAAGTTGGAAAGTGGGGCATTAAGAAACTGTTGCTTTTGTTCAGATCAACTGGAGAATTGAATTTTAAAATGAATTGGGTTATACAAGTAGCTTTTCAAAATTATACTAACTGAATGTTTTGTCATTTTCACAGAGCTCAGTTATGGGTAATACTTCTAATTTATTCCTTCAGAATCTTTCTCATGTTCCACTGGCACAGCAACAATTAATGAAATTTGAGAATATTCATACAAATAATGTAAGTGTGGAATTATTTTTTCTTTTGAAATGAGTTCATTCCTTTTCTCTAATCAGGCTGTTGGTCAGATTGTTTATGGATTTTCATGTATGTAGCCTTTTTATTAGGTTGTATCTTGCTGCCAGGGGCAAAAATCTTACTTTCTTTTCTTCTTTGGCAGAAACCGGGCTTGCTCGGGGAACCCCCGGCCATGGTACTACAGACTGCAGTGGGGATCGGGTCCGCGCTGCCCTTGAAGACAGAGTTGGGCCATCACGGAGAAGCACATAAAAGTAAATGATGTGTGTTTACTGAGAAGTCAGTAAATAGTCAGATTTAAGATTTAAAGATGAGTTTACTTATATTCTGCTTTCATTTGTAGGAAGGTCAGATTTGAGTTTTATTCAGTCATTTAAAATTTCAAGAGCCCTCGTGGCTTTTTTATTTTTAATATTAGAAAACTATTGCTAAGTTGTTGATGGACTTGCTTCCATGCCAGGATGAGCCTTTCTCTGCTGGATACGCTTTAATATTTGATGAAGCTTCACAGCAGCAAGAGGCAAAGACAGATCCATTTGAGACTGACACGCTGCCCACTGGGCTGATGGCATATTACATAGGTAACCATTTAATTTTTGTCTGGACAGGAAAGCCCTTAGCTTTTATGAAGAAATATCTGGTATTGATAAATTTAAAGTTTGATTATTTATTTGTATCATTTTTTAAATGTGATCTCCAAATTAGTAGTAGAAGAAAAATAATAATATGTGTACTGTGTGCTTCTGAAAAGATGACAAATTTAAACAGAACAATTTGGTGCTCGCTTCAGCAGCACAGATACTAACCAGAACGATTTGTTTTTCTTTTTTAGAAAAACGGGAGCATGGTAGTGTACCAAGATTTCTTATTTGAATGTGATTTTGAAAGACACTGTCAGTTTGAATTTAATTGAAATTTGTTTGAAGTGAACATGCCAAGGGAAAAGAGAAGGCCCACCAGTAGCAAAAAAAAAGTCAATTAAATATGAGTAGCATATTTAACCTCTTGTACATGAAACTGGCAAGTCAAATGATCAAATAATTCAGTCAGTTCTGACCATTGGCATTGACTGGGCAAAAGTTAAACCAGTGTACAGACAGGGGTAGAAATTTTTATGGTTTGATGAGGTCTGTCCTAAAAATTAACTTTTGTATAACTAAAAGCTTATGCAAATGTTTATTATTTGTGTCTGATTAAATAATAAGCCATTTGCTTTAGCATCGATGCTTTAAGAACACTGAAAATTCAGTGTCCAAATAAATATATCATGAAAGATAGAACTAGAGTATGCATCTCTAAATATTTAGTACTAAAAATAATTTAAGAAATTTGTTTAGTGAATTTGTAAAATATAAATTTGACTTAAAGTAGTTATCAAAATTAGCTCTTTTCATTTAACTTTGACCTGTAGATTTTTAAAAAGTGGAATGGTTCAGAATTTTCTTATTAAAACTTTCATTCCTTCCAGAATTTCTTATTTGCCTGTAAATAAAAATGTACAACTTTCGTGTGTTAAATTTGGTGCTTATCTATTCACAAATATTGATATTTTGTAAACCAATGGTGTGCTGATGTTTAAAAACCAGCTTTCTGGTTAAAAAACAAAGTCTTGATGTGTAGCATTTGTGGATTTGTGTGTGTGAACGCTCCAGCCGTGGCCGACTTCAGGTTACCCGTGTGAGGACATCGAACTCGAGATCCAAGAAGAGATATGTACAGTCGGCTCTTATGAGCTGTGCAAGCCAGCTGACCAGATTTATTGTTGGATTTAATCTAACTTTATTAATTTTTAAGTGTCAGAGAATTTTTTAAACTGAAGACTTAATTATTTTCTTCACCTATGGAAGCAGGCAAATTACCATGATTGGGCATAAAAAAACCAGCATTGATGTAACTGAGATGCCAAAAAGTGCATAAATTTTGCTCTCAGCTTCTAAAATAGGCAATTAAAACTTGGAACTAAAAAGTATAATATCCTTGAGATTATCCTGGAAGTTATTGAAAATAAGAAAAACGTGATTATTAGCATTAGAGGTTTTTGTTTTTCCATACAGGAACCTGCTAATTGACAACCTCTAACCTCACCTTTTAAATTGAACTGTTCTCTAATAGGTAAAAAAATAGGTTTCTGCACATTTTGCCCGTAATTTGACAAAATCAAAAGGACTATTATGAATAAGCCTTGTCTAACCAAAAGCCTTTTGCATTTGTGCTTCCCTACAGCATCCAGTCTGATGCCAGCTCAAACAACGATGACAGCTGGAAGGGGCGTGTTACCCTTCTTTGCGAATCAGCACGTGGCTGCGCCGGGGCGTGGGAATGCTCAGCGCAAGCAGCCGGCCGCGGGGGCGATGGCGGAAGGGAACGTCTCAGGGTCGCAGGCTTATCTTCGGAGCTTGCCAAACCTTCCAGCTGCGGGCGTGCTGACCGGACACCAGAGGCAACAGCAGAGTCAGCCGAAAAGCACGGAGATAAGTTCAGGGGTAAGAAGTGTGTGTGCGCGCCTGCATACGCATACACACATATACACGCACACACTGCACGTGTATACTACGTGTATATATGTATGCTACACGGGAATATATATTCTCTTTAATTATTCAATTATTCTAATTCTAGAGTATTCTGATTTTTGGTTATTTTATAAGTGGTATAATTTATGAAGTATCATCAAGCAATCTTAACTATTTTTAAATTTCGAAGGAAGCATAGTGGTTTACTTAAAGTATACAAGTACGGATTACAAACTAGATAATTGCTATAATATATCAATGACACGATAACTTTTTCATAGAGTACATTCACTTCTCAAAATAGAAGAAAATATTGCACTCAAAAAAAACCTTGTTATTATAAATAAACAAAAATCCATCTATTGATAAGTTATGCCAGATGATGTTTGGGACTATGCTTAATTACCAGTTTATCTGTCAATAAAATAATTTTAATTTGTGTAAAATAAGTTTTTTAAGTCTATTATTATAAAATAGTTTAGATGTGAATTCTTTATTATAAATATTTGCTTTTCTAAAGAGTGTGAGATATGCATATTTTTCAAAAATGCTTGATATTTTAAAAATAAAATATAAACTAGTTTAAGTTCAAAATTTCGTAGTTTGGAAAAGCTTAAGAGTATCATTAATACTTAACCGATTATATAGTGATATTATTTATAAGGCTTTCTAAATATAATGCTATTCTTTAAAATATACTCATTTTTCTACTTTAAATATATATCCTGTAGCTAGTTAAGGTATTATTTTAATATTTAAAGGCAGAACCAATTTTATTTTATCTGAATAATGTCAAAGTCAGTTATTAAACACTGATCTGCTCAAAAGAATCTAATCTCTGTTTTAATTCTGTAAGTTTTTACCCATTTTATTGGTTCATAAACCACTGGCATTTGTAAATATTATCATAAGTAAGTAGAATAAAGTATATTTGATTTTTATTTTATTTGTACCCTAAAATACCCTATGGTTTGTAAGTGGTATAAAGCGCAGGCTATAAGCAGCATGTGAGGCACAAAATCCTTGTAGTTGGCTGTATTCAAATTGTGAAATAAAATTGAATTTGTCAGAGGTTTCAGTGTCACCTGGTCGCAGCAGGAGGTGTGGATGGAATGCCCTACAGTCGTACCTTGAGAAGGCTAAGCAGTTTTTCATAGAATGAGTTTTAAAAATTTATCTGCAGTATTAATTGCTTGGATTATTGGGGAAAATTAAACAAATAGAACTCATATATGATTATTCTGTATCTTTTTGCACAGACTCTTTAATTCATTGAAAGCATGAGTGTCTTTAGAAAAACTGGATTTGAGGTGATTCACATAGTGGGCAAATGAGAGTGTGCCTAGAAGAAGACAGCCCAAGTGGGGCAGGGTCTGGAAGACAAGTCCTGTGAGGAAGAATTGAGGGAAATGGGTATATAGAACTTGGAAAGGGTTGACCAGCTGGATATATATATTTTTTTAAATATTCACAGATTAGTCACATGGTATTTTGTGTTCCTCCAGTGGTCAGAACTAGTCCAATAAGTATGACGTACAATAAAGCAGATTTAGGCTTAATCTAACAAAGAACAATTGAAGCTTTCAAACAAAAGTTTGACTATTTCACCAAGATGTGAATGTCATGTCACCTAGAACAATTAAGCAGACCCCAGGTGAGCGTCTGTACAGATTGTTGGGAAGTGATTCCTCTTTCTGACTATAGGGAGTTGGACCAGGTGACCTCAAAGTATGTTTTCCAAGTATGTAGCAAGATTTTGGACTTTGTTAAACAATTGATTAAACTTGGCTTTAGGTTTTTAGACCTGTGTCGTTAATATTATGTTGACCAGTGATTCTTGATTCTGCCTTTTTGTCAGAATCACCTCTGGAGTTTAAAAAGGAGAAAAAATGGAGAGGTCTAGATTCTAACCCCCTCCACTCCTGAGAATTTGATTCAGGGAGACAGCAGGGAGATCTGTATTTTAAGCCTATCATTTGGTGGCATTAAGTACATTCACATTGTTTTGCAACTGTCACTGCTATCCATCTCCAGAACTTTTTCGTCATCCCACACTGCAATTCTCTACCCATTCAACTCTCCATTTTCCCTTCTCCTCAGCTCCCAGTAAACACTGTGCTTCTTTCTATCTCTGAAGTTGACTATTCCAGGTACCTCATGTGAGTGGAATGATACGATATTTGTCTTTTGTGTCTGGCTTATTTCACTCAGCATAATGTATTCAAGGTTCATCCATGTTGTAGCATATATTGGAATTTCCTTTTTTTCTTTAAGGCTGAAAATATTCTTGTGTGTGTGTGTGTATATATATATATATATATACACCACATTGTATGTGTATATATACATCTATTGTGTGTGTGTATATATTATATATACCACATTTTATTTATCCATTCATTCATTGATGGACATTTGGATTGTTTTCATCTTTTGGCTATTGTGAATAACGCTGCTATGAACATGGTATACAAATAGCTGTTTGAGTCCCTGCTTTCAATTCTCTTGGGTATTTACCCAGAAATAGAATTGCTGAATCATATGGTAAATCTATATTTAATTTTTTGACGAACTGCCATTCTGTTCTCCACAGCAACTGCAGAATTTTACATTCGTGCCAGCGATGCATGACAGTTCCAATTTCTCCACATCCTCACCAATACTTGTTGTTTTCTGTTTTTTCATTAGCCATCCTAATGGGTGTGAAGTGGTGTCTCATCATGGTTTTGATATGCATTTCCCTAATGATCAGTGATGTTGAGCATCTTTTCATGTGCTTATTAGCCATTTGTATATCTTCTTTGGAGAAATGTCTCTTCATATCCTTTGCCCATTTTTTAATTGAGTTATTTGTTTTTTTGCTGTTGAGTTGTGTGAGGTCCTTATATATTTTGGATGTTAATACCTTCTCAGATATGTGGTTTGCAAATATTTTCTCCCATTCCATAGGTTGCGTTTTCATTTTGTTGATTGTTTCCTTTGCTGTGCAGAAGGTTTTTACTTTGCAGTAGTCCCACTTGTTTATTTTTTCTTTTGTTGCCTGTGCTTTTGGTGTTATATGCAAAAAATCATTGCCAAGACCAATGTCAAGGAGCTTTTTCCTGATATTTTTCTTCCAGGAGTTCTATGGTTTAAGGTCTTATATTTAAGTCTTTAATCCAATTTGGGTGAATTATTGTGTATGGTGTAAGATCAAGGTCCAATCTCATTCTTTTGCATCTGGACATCCAATTTTCCCAGTACCATTTATTAAAGAGTCTATTCTTTTCCCATTGTGTATTCTTGGCACCCTTGTCAAGGGTTAGTTGCCACATATGCGTGGGTTTATTTCTGGGCTCTCTATTCTGTTCATAGGTCAATGTATCTGTTTTTATCCCAGTACTGTTTTGATTATTATAGCTTTGTAATAGAGTTTGAAATCAGGAAGGGTGATGCCTCCAGCTTTGTTCTTTCTCAAGATTTCCCTGACTACTTGGAGTCTTTTGTGGTTCCATGCAAATTTTAGGGTTATTATTTCTATTTCTGTGAAAAGTGTCATTGAAAATTTGACAGGGATTGTATTGAATCTGTAGATGGCTTTGGGTAGCATGGACATTTTAACAATATTAATTCTTCCAGTCCATGAACACAGGGTATCTTTCTAGTTATTTGTGTCCTTTTCCATTTCTTTCATCAGTGTTTTATAGTTTTCAGTGTACAGACCATTTACCTCCTTGGTTAAATTTATTCCTGAGTGTTTTATTCTTTTTGATAATATTGTAAATAGGATTTTTTTCTTAGTTTCTTTTTCATTAATTAATTAATTCATTCATTGTTAGTATACAGAAATGCAACTGATGCAAACAAAGACTATTTAACTTCTTCCTTTCTGAGCTGGATGCCTTCTATTCCTTTTTCTTGCCCAATTGCTCTGGCTAGGACTTCTAGTGCTATGTTGAATAAAAGCAGTGGGAGTGGGCATCCTTGTCCTATTCTTGATCATAGAGGAAAATCTCTCAGCTTTTCACCATCGAGTATAATGTTAACTATGGGTGTGTCCTTTATATATGGCCTTTATTATGTTGAGGTACGTTCCCTCTATATCCAGTTTGTTAGAAGTTTTTATCATGAAAGGATGTTGAATTTTGTCCAGTGTGTTTTCTGCATCTATTGAGATGATCATATGGTTTTTGTCCTTCATTCTGTTAATGTGGTGTATCAGCTTTATTGATTTGCATGTGTTGAACCATCCTAGTATCCCAGGAATAAATCCCACTTGATCATCACATACAATCCTTTTAATGTGTTGTTGAATTTGGGTTGCTACTATTTTGTTTAGGGTTGCCAGTATTTTGTTGAGGATTTTCGCATCTGTGTTCATCAGGAACATTGGCCTGTAATTTTCTTTTCTTGTACTTTCCTTGTCTGGCTTTGGTATGAGGGCAATGCTAGCCTTGTAAAATAAGTTAGGAACTCTTCTTTCCCCTTCGATTTTTGGGAAGAGTTTGAGAAGGATTGCATTAATTCTTCTTTAAATATTTGGTAGAATTCACCAGTGAAGCCATCTGGTCCCCGGCTTTTCATTGTTGGGAGGTTGTTGAGTGCTTCTTACTCATTATTGGTCTGTTCAGATTTTCTATTTCTTCATGATGCAGTCTTGGGAGGTTGTATGTTTCTAGGAATTTATCTATTTTTTCTAGGTTACCCAATTTCTTGGCATATATTTGTTGATAGTAGTCTCTTACGAGCCTTTGTATTTCTGTGGTATCAGTTGTAATGTCTCCCCTTTCATTTATAACTATTTATTTGAGTCCTCTCTCTTTTTTTCTTGGTTAGTCTATCCAAAGGTTTGTCTGTTTTGTTTTTCTTTTCAAAACACCACTTAGTTTCATTGATCTCTCTTTCTAGTCTCTATTTCATTTATTTCTGCTCTACTCTTTATTATTCCCTTCCTTCTGCTAATTTTGGGCTTAGTTTGTTCTTTTTCTAGTTCTTTGAGGTGTAAAGTTAGGTTGTTTATTTGAGATCTGTCTTTTCTCTTCATGTAGGCATTTATTGCTATAAACTTCCCTCTTAGAACTGCTTCTGGGGCTGGCCCAGTGGCATAATGGTTAAGTTCACGTGCTCCGCTTTGGCGGCCTGGGGTTTGTGGGTTCAGATCCTGGGCGTGGACCTACACACCGCTCATCAAGCCACGCTGTGGAGGCGTCCCATATAAAGTGGAGGAAGATGGGCACAGATGTTAGCCCGGGGCAAATCTTCCTCAGCAAAAAGAGGAGGATTGGCATCAGATGTTACCTCAGGGCCAATCTTCCTCACATACGTACATACATACGTACATACATACACCTTATTAAAAACAAAAAAACTGCTTCTGCTGCATTCCATAAGTTTGGGTATGTTGTGTTTCTGTTTTCATTTGTATCAAGATACTTTTGATTTCCCTTTTGATTTCTTTTATGACCCATTGCTTGTTCAGGAGTGTGTCAATTTCTACATACCTGTGAATTTTCCAATTTTCCTCCTGTTACTGATTTCTAGTTTCATACCATTGTGGTCAGAACAATACTTGATATGATTTCAGTATTCTTAAATTTGTTAAGACTTGTTTTGTGGCCCAACATATGATCTATTTTTTCTTTTTTTGCTTCTGCTTTTGGTGTATATCCAAGAAATCATTGCCAAATCCAATATCATGAAGCTTTCCACCTAAGCTTTTCTTTTAAGAGTTTTATATATTTAGCTCTTACTTTTAGGTCTTTGATCCATTTTGAGTTAATTTTTATATATGGTGTTAGGTCCACTTCATTCTTTTACATATGCATATCCAGTTTTCCCAGCACTTTTATTGAAAATACTGTCCTTTCCCCATTGACAAGTCTTGACACTCCTGTCAAAAATCATTTAACCATATATGCAGGGATTTATTTCTGGCCTTTCTATTCTATTCTTTTGGTCTAAATGTCTGTCTTTATGCCAGTACCATACTGTTGAAATGACTGTAGTTTTGTAGTAAGTATTGAGGTCAGAAAGTGTGAGCCCTCATTTCTTGTTCTTCTTTTTCACCTTTTTCAGGATTATTTTGACTGTCTGGAGTCCCTTGATATTCCATATGAATTTTAGGATGGATTTTTCTATTTCTGCAAAAAAAGTTGGGATTCTGTTAGGGATTGCATTGAATCTGTAGATCACCTTGAGTAGTATTGACATTTTAACAATATCAAGTCTTGCAATCCATGAACATGTCTTTCCATTTATTTATGTCTTCTGTAATTCTTTCAGAAATGTTTTGTAGTTTTCAGGGTACAATTATTTCTCGTCCTTGGTTCAGTTAATTCCTAAGTGTTTTATTCTTTTTGATGCTATTGTAAGTGGAATTGTTTTCTTAATTTTCTTTTTGGATTGTTCATTGTTAGTGTATAGAAAAGCAACTGATTTTGGCTTGTTGATTTTGTATCCTGCAACTTTGCTGAATTTATTATTTCTAACAGTTTGTGTGTGTGTGTGTGTGTGTGTAATCTCTAGGGTTTTCATGTCATCTGCAAAAAAGAGATTGTTTTACTTCTTCCTTTCCAATTTGGATGCCTTTTATTTCTTTTTCCTGCCTAATTGCTCTAGCTAGAACTTTCAATACTATGTTGAACAGAAGTGTGAAAGCAGACATCCTTGTTTTTTTCTTGATTTTAGCAGAAGTTTCAGTCTTTCACCTTTGAGAATAATCTTTGCTTTTCACATATGATTTTTATTATGTTAAGGTAATTTCCTTCTATTCCTAGTTTGTTGAGGGTGTTGAATCTTAACCATGAAAGTGTGTTGAATTTTGTCAAATGCTTTTTCTGCATCAATTGAAATGAGGATGTGGTTTTTTCTCCCTTCATTCTCTTAATGTGGTGTATTACATTGAGTGATTTTTGTATGTTGAATCATCCTTGCATTTTAGGAATAAATCCAAGTTGGTTATGGCATATAATCCTTTTAATAATCTGATGAATTTGGTTTGCTGGTGTTTTGTTGATGGTTTTTGCATCAGTATTCATAAGGGATATTGGTCTGTAGTTTTCTTTTCTTGTAGTGTCTGTCTGGTTTCAGTGCTAGGGCAATGCTGGTCTCATAGAATGAGTTAGGAAGTATTCTCTCTTCAATTTTGTGGAAGAGTTTGAGAAGGATTGGGGTTAATTCCTCTTTAAATGTTTGATAGAGTTATCCAGTGAAACCATTTGGTCCAGCACTTTTCATTGTTGGGAGATTCCATGTTTATTTATTTTTAAAAATTTATAAGTAATTTTCATGCATAGCTAGAGTTGAGAACCCCTGATAGGATGTAATCTGATTACTTTAGCAATCTGAGTACTTTAGAAACAAAATCTGCGACTTCTCTGCTGGCTGCCTTTCCTCTGCTCCATCACTGGATTTTCTCGAGGGTACTGTTGCTTCTCATGCTACATGCTTTCCTTTGGCGTATGTCTAATGGTTTCAACTCCCACCTAGAATCTTATGGTTCCATCTTAGACTTCTCTTGAGCTATCTTTACTACTAGACTGTGAATTTCTTAAGGGTGGTATTCCTGTCTTACTCATTTTACTATTACCGATGCTTACCACAGTGCCTAGAGCATAGTAAGTATTTGGTAAACACAGATGAATGAATGAATACATCTACACCTGTGATTTACATATCATAAGCAAATCTGGACTTCTTTGGGGCCTATGAAGGTGTATAAGACAGAGCCTCTGTCCAAATACAATAATATTGGCCAGATAAGGAACAACTGTAAGGAGCTCTGGCTCTCAAATATGGAAATCAGCACTTGAGATTATACCTTCTTCATTTTGTTCAGGGAACAAAATAAAAATTACTTGAAAATGAAAGGTTAGCTACTAACTTAAACTTTAACGATAGTTAGTATCTTATTTTAAAATCTTTACCATCAGAGAGTGAAAAGTAAACAATTCTGACAGAAGAATATGAAATACACTGAAGAATCAGCCCATGATTTTGTCTCCTTTTTCTGTTAAAGAAATACTGGAATCCTTGTACCTAGTTATGTAAAAGTATACTGATATATATTTCCAAGAAATGTGACTTTCTAGGGTTATCGTCTAAACGTGGAGTTGGATTTTATTAAACCCACCTGTTTTGTTTGCTATTGTTCCCAGTCCTAGAGATAAGTAAGCTCCGCCTTTGTCATCTGGCTGTGGCCACACGACATTAAATAAAAGTCTTAATAAGAAAATGTTGATAAGAGTATTTATGAGGGCCGGCCCCGTGGCTTAGCGGTTAAGTGCGCGTGCTCCGCTACTGGCGGTCCGGGTTCGGACCCCGGGCACGCACCGACGCACCGCTTCTCCTGCCATGCTGAGGCCGCGTCCCACATACAGCAACTGGAAGGATGTGCAACTATGACATACAACTATCTACTGGGGCTTTGGGGTAAAATAAATAAATAAAATTAAAAAAAAAATAAAAAATAAAGAGTATTTATGAAAATAAGTTATGGGGTTTTTGGTTTTTCTTTTGTGAAGATGAATTCTCTCCTGGTTCAAATGAGAAGGTTGTACAAAATGGTCTTTAGTTCTCTTTCACTTCTATAGTTCTATGGTTCTAGAATAGTTAAAAAAAAAAAAACCTAATTGAAAAAATAATTAATTGTAGGTGAAATGATACTTTTAATTGATATCCAGAAATATTTCATAACTTTATATCTTCAAACATTTAGGTTCCACAAACTTTTATCACACTAGACTAGCTTTATTGAAGAGTAAGTATTTCTCTACTCTTTCTGCATTTTTATCTTCTTATACCTGTTAGTAAGCACCCATTCTTTTGTTTTTGATAAATAGGCTGCCTCTAAGAATCAGACTTCACTCTTGGGAGACCCACCAAAAGAAATTCGGCTCAGCAAAAATCCGTACTTGAACTTGGCAAGTGTGTTACCCAGTGTGTGCTTGTCATGTAAGTGAGAGCTCAG